GTTCCATTTCTTTGGAGAACTCTCACTAAAACACCAAGGAAACAAAATGTCCTACAATGTCGATGGCCTCCCTGTTGAGAAACCCTGCTCTAGCTGGCTGGAAACATGTTTAAGAGGCACACCAACCAACAAGGAAGTGTGTCTTCCAACACTCACCCATCAGCCCACATCAGATGACTGCCCTCGAGGGCTTGCCCTCCCAGTTACAGACTCATATAAATTACTCTAAAGCAGGCAGTAAATTATTTGGTAAAATTAAAATCACTGGCAACATTTCCTACACACACATTTGTAAACAATCTGACACGAGTAGCCCGCAGTGGTTTCCTGTCTTTTCTCACTTTAAGTTGCGGATGACATTGCTTAAACATTTGGATTTATCTTTTGCTCAGAGGAGTTACACAAAGCACACAAAGCTAAGCATATCTTTTTCAAGATTCCCTCAAAGACAATTCTCTCAACATGTAAGAATGAAGATGCTGCTGTTGGCCAAGATGTAAGCAGACCGACCTCAAACAGACCAGCTGTGAGCTCTTCCAACTCCTGTCCAAGTTCATCTCGCACCTTTGAAAGCCTCTCACATTCTTCATCTTTTAACTTCAGTTCCTATGAGAAATTGATAATTTTATTTTGGATCTCCATCATTTGAAGTTAGACACAGCAAACTATATCATGTTTACTAATAAAATCACAAAATATTAACACTGTCTCTTCCTACAGTGTTCAGGCTGAAAACGTCTGCCGAGCACTTAGTGGAAGGTATCAAGCAAGTCTAGAATGATGACGAACCCAACTAACATGAAATCTTCACGTTTCTTTCCTGAAACACTGAAGACTGAATATGAATATATATTACACACAAAACTGACAATAAATGACTTCATTCTTTTTTCCCTTAACTTTTCTCTGAAACTTTTTTTTTGCAATCAAACACAGAATTTCTTCAATTATGCTTATTAAATTCAATAGAACTTCAGTGGGTTTTTCATGTTTACTTTAAAAGCTATTACTTATAGATAACATACTGCAAATAAATCTAAAACTTCCATTAGACTCTACCCACTTAACAATACAACCAGAGTTAAACAGTGCAAATTTGCATTTAAGAATAATACTAGTGACAAAAATCACATCCTACATTTATATATGATTCCTCAACAGGTAATAAACAGATTTTTACATGTTGAAGTAGCCTTAATCATTCAAACAGAGAAAAAAGAAGCCAACAACAAAATTACATTAGTAACATAATGAGTTAGTTGTGCTATAATGGTGATAGGAGCATAGTTTGTTAATTCTTCCAAAGACAATCCTGAAAACTCAAATACACCAACTAGGATATCAAAGACCTCAACGACTACGTCTTCAACAAAAGTAGTAAAGACAATTTCTACAAATCTCAGAATAGAAGAGAATATGACTAAATTGCCCACAGCACAAGCTCAGTTCTGGGCAGAAGGGACCCATGGGGGTGAGAGGGGACTTCAGAGGCACCTGGAACACATCAAACCCCATGTCACTAACAAATAATCCACAAGCAGAGGGTGCTATCCTTGGATAAAACTGGAAAACAAATCTGAGAATAAATAGAGAAAAAGGGAAAGGTTTTCAAAGACCCAAGCTGTAGGGTGAAATAAGATCCTGTACAGCCTGTCCTGCAGGCAGCAAACATTCCACAGGCTCCGAGTCCTCACGCATCCAGCAAAGGTTCCTCTGCAGAAGGACCCGTCTCGCCCTGGGAAAGACTGGAGTGTGAAGCCAAACTGTAGGACAGAACAATGGAGACAGCGAAAGAGAAGACCTCTCAGGCAGAGGAGGAGGGCAGAGGGCTCCACAGAAAGCCCCACAAAGAGGAAACATACGTCTCAGGATGCAATGCTGAGGCCCTGACGCTCTGAGAGACGCTGCGCTGGAGGAAGAAACCTTGAACGAGGC